CATTACTTAATTCAAAATTTTGAGAAATATGCTGTTTCTAGAAATTGTTCCGTAAAGGAAGTGAGTGAACGTTGAATGTTGTAAAGCACTCGAATAAATATCGCACGTTCATCTTTTCTCTTAAATCGGTGAATAGGATTGAAATTCTGAGAGCCAAGCTTCCTTCAAGGCCCTTTCAGCACTAATTTTCCAAAACACTTCAACGGGTCAGCTCATAGCAGATATGTCTACAAAGGACCATCTTCGCTAAAATATCATAAGTAGGTCTCTTAAATTTGTCACTACGAATCACCCATTTTCACGTGTCGTTTGATTTCTCATTAAACTCTAATCTTACTTCCTTCCATATTCAAAATACGAGGACAACAGAGTCGTTTGTCATTATGTAAAACTCAATATGAACGGAAGTGCTCAATTATGGTGATAAATAATATCGTCGGTTCAAATCGTCGAAAACTACAAGCAATTCTTTGGTGATCCGGAAAATATTTCAGGCAAATTAGAGGGTTGGCAAGGGGCAGCGTTTGCCACCAAACCCTGCCACTGCCTATATGTCTAAAGTAGAAGCACCAGTTCTCAGTCGTGATCCATTACTCTACTGTTGATACATAGACGATTATCTTTTCATCTGCTTGACACAGGTGGAGATGAATATACTTTTTGAATTGTTGAAGGAGCAATCGGGGTATATTAATTCTATGGGAAAAGCCTGGGGAGAATCGGCTTCCATTTTTGGACGTTCAATAAAATCCTCCTGAAAATGTCTAAGTAACAAAACGGTATCGTAAGCCAAGTAATAAAGACATAATAGTGCGCCACCTTTCTTCCCACTCCTCACGCACGAAAAGAGTGCTTGTTCGGAACATGTTCCGAACGGCCGCAAGTGTTTGTACGGGAGGGTGAAGTCAGAGGAGTCACTACGTTGAGCACGACAAATAGCCATCTCAAATGGTTATGAAAAAGCAACCACTGAAGTCAGGTCAACCAGGAGATGTATGTCCATAACATAACTAATTGAAATAGTGCTGTTCAAATCCAGACGGGAATATAACCCTGAAATTACTCTTCATAACGAAAGAGGTAAGCGCTGCTATTCAAAGGGTGTCGAAAAAACAGTGGTCCGGAAAAAATATGTAAGAATCTATCATACCTTTCTTTTCGAGTGTTTTCTTAAGACCACGCTCAATTTTCACTATGCTTGATAATTATTTTTTGAGCAATGCATATGGTCTGTTCTAGGGCAACTTATAGAGTCCGATACACGTGTTTAGGCCTTGACAGCCTCGTCAGTCGGGCAGTACCCTTTGCTTTCAGCCAGCCTTTTCGGAGCCCTATACGCGGGGTTGGCAAAGACGAACTTTTTACACTTGTCATCAAGTGAAAATATAACTGAATAGACAGTGTAAAAGTGTTCTGAAGAAAACACTCGAAACGAAAGGTATGATATACTTAACGATACCAGTTAGGAGCAATCGAGTGTAAAACACTAAAAACACTACAAGCGGTAATGGTACGAGTAAAAAGTTTGTCTGTGCGAACTACAAATAAGGGTGGAGTTCCGCGAGAGGACTGGCTAAAGACAAAAGGTACTGCCCGACTGACGAGGTTGTCAAGGCTGAAACACGTGTATCGAGCTCTATAAGTAGCTCAATAATAAACCACTTGCACGGCTCTAAAATGATTATCAGGCATATGCATAAGAATCACACATATTCCACCCAATACTTTATGTCGCCAATTGGTTCGGAACCGCTTGTACGGCCGTCTATGTAAGACAGACAATTGCTGATATGCTCTCATGGTAGAGACGGAGATTGCACGAGTTCGGCTGCAATATACCAAGTCTACTGCACGACATGTTATGAAGAATATATTGGCAAAACGGGTAGACTACTTTGAACTCACATCATAGAACAACTAGACGGGAAATCGAACAGTCAAAGAAGTAAGCTTTTAGGTGCTCATAGGTTAGAAAAACATAAAAATGTGAACTGCGATGTGGTGGTAAGAATCCTGGAGCAAAATCAAAAACGTCGGCGCGAAAAGCCTTGCAGACCTTTTAGATGAACGCGCAAAAGTCCAATAATGATTAGAAGGGGAGAATGCCTAAGCGCAATATATGATGATAGCGCCCTATCTCAGTTTCGTCTTCTAGTCTGAGTGAGGTTTATTTCTCACAGTGTAACACACAGGACCAGTGACCTCTCCCACATAAGTGTTAAAAGGGGGGGGGGGGGACTTCATAATTACATTGTTAAATTGTTTTGTATTAGATTCTTATGCATACGAAGTATTAACCGAACAATCAGATATGATATGACACACTACGTATGGCTCTGATGAAGGCGGTGTCACCCAAACGTTAGCCATCAAATTTCGAGAAAGAAGACGTACCAACCTTGTGCAAGTTTTGGTTAGAGAAAACGGTGGTCGATTTAGTGACAATTGTCGACTCCTACCAGCGTCTACATGGAAGCATACCGCCGACGGAATGTACTTGCACTGAGCGATACTCCCATGAAGGTAGGTTCAAGCCATACTCTGCGGCTATCTTCATCGAAAAATGAAAACCCTCTGGATAATCGACTCTAATTATCGCGACTTTGAAAAGACCGCGAAGTTGAACATGATGAAAATTCGTATAGGTTAGCTTGTTTACATGATATCAGCTCAATCTTTTGAAAAGAGAATGTAAACATGGTTGCAAAATTCTCAACCTTTCCTACAGATTATATCGGAAGTGTGTATACTGATCCACAGATAGCAATGCTACGTCAAAGATATCTTGATTTAGAAATAAAAAAAACGTGCCAAACCTATTAAATTTCATACATTGTGAACACTTCGTGCTGAATATCTCACTATTCATCAACATGATCGATCGAGAAAGTTGTATTACTGAATATATTTGTTACCGTACCGCAGCCGTTTTGTTGTCCATGGTTTTGTCCGATCGCTCTATGCGCGTCCCGTTCTACGTCCTCATTATGCTCCGTCGATGTAAGCGACTTATTGAAGTGCACGGTATGATTCTGTCAAATTATGCAGAACAAATGCGTATTTACCGGCGGGTTTTACTGGTCTTAACCCGTTCGACGCTATCAAAATATGGTTTTGTAGTCCAATATAGATGTGTACCACGTGGGCTTCGGCGCCATATGCAAAATGGCAGGTTCTGATGATATTGTTGGCGATTCGTCGCTGAGAAGAATGCAACCAGACATCTTTGGTTGACTATAATGACTTATTTGTTTCCATGCTCGCGTTGAAATCCGATGTAATTGCGCATGGCAACGGTCGACCTCCGTCGGAGGCCGGGAGTACGAGGCCGAAGATCGCCACCTGGTTGGATTGTTTCGGCAGTGTTATGACGAACAGCCGCTCGATTTCATAAGCGACTAAATATCTTCTATAGTGAACTTCCGCAGTTCGAGTTGATTAGATACTCCTTTTCATGTTAGTTCCAAATCTTTGATCCCTCATCTGCGAAATTTCGCTCCGAATAGTTGTACTGCAATATTGTTTTCACTCAATTCGTCCAGCTTCATTTGATTAATTTACGGCATAAAAAATAGTGTTTCTTCGATTCATAATGTTTCATCTAGAGCCACATTAATTTTGAGAGAGTGAATTGAGCCTTAAGAATCCAACCAACTTCCAGAACCCTAAACAAATAAATTAACCGTTTTTTTCAGATAAGAAATTTCACCCAAACTGTTCTCTACTTTGCGAAAAAGCCTGACTATCCTATAAAGAGTATCATTTACTAACTTAATACTGATTTTTCTACTAAATTTCCAGACATTATATGCTAGACACTTTAGTGACATAATTTCCTGCTTTTATGACGATTGTAAACTACAGTATCACCAAAAAGTGCAATAATTTAACAATTCGCTAAAGTAGACCTGGAATTGGAAAATGCTGTGTGTGTGCGTGTCAGTTCGAAAAGAGTCCAGTTGTTCAAATTTCACATGTTTGCCAACAAATGACTAGTATTCTGAAAAGAATAGGCACTCAGAAGTTGTTTGATCTCGGTACATTTATGAAGGAAAATACCGTCGCGTGTAAATCGAACGTCTGGGCAAAAGGAAAGCGTTGCGAAATCGAAAAACCTCCAGCTGAAATTTCGTGCTATCAAAAATTTTCTTCCTCATATCACATGAAAAACCCCACAATAGAAAATTCTTTTTTTCATTTGGAGTAGTTTCTTTTCATGGCCATATAAAGGCCTTTATTTATGCCAGTGGCCTCTGAACAAATTACCACCTTATCGTAGCCCAGTGCTAACTCTACGTGTGAAAAGAAAAAAAAGTGGAAGATCATTCCAAAAGGAGGTGACTGTCCGAGAAAGTGTTTAATAACTTTATATAGAAACCTAATTACTACTGAGCCACAGCAGAGTGCAACGAGCAGATGATACTGTGCTCGAGCCTTCTGGATGTGGAGCTAGCTAGTCACACTGAGCTGTCCTCTCAATGTTATTCACTTATAAACATGATACCAGACGATATAAGTGATATATTAGACGAGGGCTCATGCCGTTCCTCTCAGTGCAGAACCTATTGAGTCTATGAAGTCACAGTTCAGTACTTTTTTACATGATCATGGCGAATTTTATAATAATGATTAGCGCCATGAACGTCCACCTTACCTAAGCAGTCACTGAAAACTTTTCAATGATCAATAAGTCCTTGTTCATGCATGTATGTATGTGAGTTAGACGCTGGGGCGTCTACTCATTGCTTCCACAGCGTTTCAAAAGTCTCCATAGGAATTTGATTTTGAATCAGAATTCACTTTCATTCATCTCTGCGATGATACATCATATCACCGCAAGAGACGGTCAAATAAAAATGAATTCTGATTGATTATCAATACCCAATATCTGTCAGTATAAACGGGTTTCAGTGTCGATAACGACTACTCACCTCAGATCGTTGACGGTTGGCTGTCGAGAAATAACGCGCTGTAGCATGGAAAGAGCGGTGTCAAAACGGGCTTCGGTAGTGCAGCGGTTCAGCACGCGCTCCAGGATAGAGTGTAATGTGGGTTCCAATCTCACCTGAGGCAAAGGTTTTGAACACCACTCTGCATTATTGGAAAGTTGACTTTGTCATCTCGTCAAGAGTGCGCTCATCTGCCTTTCTAGACTAGCAACCATACTTGACAATGAACAATACAAGGTTAATGTTGGTATTCTATCCTGCAGGTGCCTTTGAATGGACAATGTTTTTGAAACTTATTGTATATTGTATGTAAAAGATCAAGGCCTTTTCATAATCATTCAGTCCAAGATTAGCAATGATCCGATTGCATGTTCGATTCGTATTTGATGTTTTACTCTACCGTAATTCCATATTTCGACTAGTCATTTCTGTTGTGGTGTTATTCGAATAAAAATACCTTATATCCGATTATCGGAGATTTTGCGGATAAGCATCAATTTTGATCGAGTTCTGTGCCTTTCCGATTTGTGGGTAGGTCCACTTCATGTGTTTGCCTATATCATTGTTTTCTCATAATTTTTGAGCCATGATGCTCACACTCTTTTTGTAAATATAGTCAAATTGATTCAGACTAACGTATTTATTAACTCGTAATGAAGCTGAAAAGAGCCTAGAAAGTTGTTTTTGTAAAGCCAAATCTCACCGTATGGCACTTACGCTGTGGTGCACGTGTTGTACGGCTATGAGTTAAATTATCAAGACTGGCTCTTACTATAGAAGACGAGCTTTTTTCAATGACGATAGCTTGTAATTCACATTTTTCTCTCTAAATACTATTGAGATCTGAAAAAGGGCAATTCAGAATGGTTTCAATACAAGCTGTACTATTTCCCTTTTCGAGGACTTGGAGAAGTTATCCGTCAGGTAGACCAATTGCATAGTTTACTTTATTGCATCAGATTTCATTGGTTCTACCAACTTCTGGTACTTTTCCGTTGTCTGCTCGCCGTTTCGAACCTCAGAAAAAGTTTATTTTGCACTTATTTTGACGATTAAGTAATCATTCGATAGCTTAAAATCAAAAGAATTTGAACGGTGTATTGCATCTTCGAAAAAGTCCTTTTATCGCGCTGAAAGAGCAAAAAATATTTTTGTTCCTCATCAAAGATTTCTCGCTGACCAAAGCTTTTCGGAGTTTTGATGAATCAGTCGTTAATCAAGTCTTAAGAATACAATGATTTACTTGGTTTTGAATAACGACCTTGCATCACGCTGTAACAGCCAAAAGAAGAGTGGGCTCCGCAAAACTGGAAGAAGCATCGAGTACGAAACCCAATTTTGTTTTGATTCTTATGATGCACTAAGGTGCCTATTCAAGAACCAAAAGACATTATTGCAATCTAATAATGTAGAGTGATGTGCAAAAAACGTTGCGTCACGACAAGATTCGAACCCAGACTTCACTCTGGTTGATTATAGATAGCCAATATCTGTCGGAGAGGATAGTCGAAGGTGTTCCATTTTTTGCGAAACCCAATCTTCTTTTGGCTGTTACAGCGTAATACCAGACCTCTTTATAAAAACCATTTAGACATTAAATTCTCAAAACTAATCCTTTTGTTTGGTTATTGAAACTCCGAAGGAAAAGCTTTGGTCAGCGAGAAATCTTACAATGAGGAGCATATTTTTATTCTTGCTCTTTCAGTCGCAATAAGAAGGTTTTTTCAACATGGAATATGACATATCAAATTCTTGGATTTGTGCCATCGAACGAGCATTTGAGCATTGAGAAAGACCAAAGAAGCACGTTTTTTACAAGGGTTTGGAACAACGAGCACACAGCGGAAAAGTACCAACTTTTAATTGTGATGCGAAACACGACGTACTTGAAATCCTCATTGAAGCTGACGTTTAGTAGTTTTGCCTCAATCGGAGGCCATAATGATTTGCGTGAAGTCTTCACATTAGTTCTTCTTCTCATTCCTGGCCTTCGTAGTCGTCGTATCGAGACGATTAGATGTGAGTCATTGCACGATAAAAGGCAACGCTATGAATGTCCTCAATTCGTTCATGTCCACACTACTCAACTCGCCTCCAAGCGACGGTTACGACGATCACAGCATTGGAAGAAGAAACAACTGGTGTGGAGATTTGAAGCGAATCACTATGACTCCGATGAAACGAATACTACCGAAACGTCGGGCACGAACAAGATTTATAAAAACCTGTGTCAGCTCAGAAATAAGAAGGGGGACTATTCGTCGCTTATATCGAGGTTTGATGAAGTTCGAAATACCGTAGTTCTACACCGCTTCCCAAGATAAGGATAAATCTAGAGGACAAAGTTTTTTCGTCTATGCTGCAACGGATTATGTGTTCTATAAAAACGTTCTCAAATCCATGTCCGCTGGTATGGATCTGCGCACATCCGTTCAATGCCTCCTGCATGTTAAAGCGTCCTTCGGCAAAGGATTTGCGAAATGGTTCAAGCTAGCAGCTAAGCAGCGTCTACTTTTGAACAATACAAGCTGTCTTGTGTAACTGGATCTTATGCGCAGCGGGAGTCACTTGTGGATAGCCTACAGCGGGTGGTGCAGAAGATACCGTCGAAAGTATGACGATTGTCGTGGCAGAACAATCGAGAGTTAAAGAAGCAATTGAAGACTTGCCAGTGTATGTTTCGTCTGCTGTAAATGGCGCGGTTTATTTGATCCCCTTCACTGAAGTATATTTGGAAATGCTCTGAGAGAAAGTGGTAAAGGTCAACAAATGAATGAGGATGGACTTCCAACTCCACTTGTGACAACTAAGTCTTCTACCGCTCAGCGACTCCAAGTAACTTACTACAGTTTCTGAGAGAACTGAATACTACCATATTACATCTGTAAGTTACAGCAAGTCATTCTAAAGGTCAGGTGTATACTCACTGACCTCTACGATGTATGATGAAGCTGAATGCATGGCATATTCGTACAACAGAGGTCAACTCTAAGCGCTTTGTTTTCTGCTCCTATTTGTTTTATCAATCAATAAACTTCGTTAAAATAGTCGTTTCAGTTGTTTGCTCTAGCTGGAGTAGAATACGAAGACGTCCGAATTACGAAGGAACACTGGCCTGAATTAAAACCCAGTTAGTGTCCAGGTTTTTCGTTTTTTTTTCAAGTACATGACATCATGCGAAGTCCATGTGTTTTGACTGAATGAGCAATTTGATATTGGGGGAGAGGGTTTTTGCTAATATATCAAAAGCCGCGTTAGAGGTTTGCCAGTTGTTCATCACTTCCCACAATCGAAATATTGTTACAGGTATGGTAGGGTTTTGCGATTTTGGCTATTTTATTTCATAACAGGCATTCGAGTGGAAATCACGATTATCTGAACATTGGAAGCTGGAGAGAAACAAGCAACCACTTTCCTTCACAGTTTGACTCAGAAAAATAACCCCCATCCACGATTATGCTACATACCATTAGCGGTTATTATATCATAGCTCTTCATAGCTACAACGTCAAACATCAGTCAGAAAAAGAGTAAGGAGAATATCAGTAAGATGATCTATAACTCGTGCAGAAGGATCCCAATAGTGTAAACCTCATTTTATCCTATAACTAAGTTGGGTTTGCGTTTAGTGCGCTCTTCACTCCCCATTCCTTTTTCGCTTTTGTGTGTATTTCAGGAATGCCGTTCGAACAGATGCCAGTGCTCGAAGTTGATGGAGAACAAATTCCACAATCCCTAGCCATTGCACGTTACTTGGCTAGGAAATACGGTATTTAATAGCACAACTGAAGCTTCTAACTTTATTATTACTAACAATAGCTTAGCATTTACAAATACTGCAAATGCTTTGAAGTTTGAAGCCATTCTTAATGGCATACAGATTCGACAAACGATAACCATGGCGCGAAAATGCTCTATCTGCTATAAACTCAGATTTCTCATTTTCATATTCCTGAAAATGATTTAACATTTTCAACTACTGCACATGACATAAAAATTGAAGCATTTTGAGGATACGCTGGCAAGACACCGTATGAGGAGGCGATTGTTGATGCGTTGGCTGATCAGTACAAAGATTTCCAAATGGAGATCAAAGATTTCTACTATCCAGCTATGGGACTCAAAGAAGGCGACGTCGTATGTGCTATTCTGTTCCTTTCTACTCAAGTTTTCATCAAGCCTATAATATTTGCGCATATAAACTGGAGAGAGAGGGCAGTTATAGCGCAGTGATTAGAAGTGCCCTGCGATGCACACGTACTCTCTTGTTCGGTCCCACGTCCCAAGCTCATCGAACCTTCCATCTCCCCAGGCTCGGCAAATTGGTACCGTAGTAACCTGGGAGGATAGTGGCACTGATCTAATGGATTAAAGAGCCCTCAAGAATGTAACTGTCTTATATTGTAAGGACCAGATATGCACTGAATCACTTTCAATAATGCTTAATAAAGTCGAATGCGCGATACATCCTTTAGGCGGTGATGAGCCCCTAGAGGTGCACCTTTCATCTTTCTTACCATGAAATTTACAATTTGAACCCTTATTTTGATGGTGGACACAATTTCTAATGGAAACTTACCCTAGATCTATTACGCTAGTATTGGATAGTTTGGACACGTACAGAATTTGACCTATTCTAATTTTTACTTAAAAGAAAATTACGGCTTATGAATTGGATGAGGATTAGTAATACGAAATTTAAAGATAAATGCAGATTGTGCACTTATATAATGCCCATCGGTGGCGTATGATAACAGCACCATTTTTTCGTCGTAGGCGACTTGAATATCCAGAACATTTTGAGAATATAGAAATTTCAGGAAGCTGCAAAGAAAAACATTCTAATTCCTGCCCGTGACCGCTTCTTTGGGTACATGACAGACTTCTTGAAGAAGAGCAGTTCCGGTAAGACTTTACTTTTCTGATTGAAGAATATTTGATTGAAGTACAGAGTTTGTGATTTTGAAGTGTAAGAAATACATTGAAAACTAATATATAATCCAATAGCTATGGCAAGTAAACTATAGCAAAACTCATTACAACGTTGTATCCAATTTTTTTGTGACCCTTCGAATTGGTCGTCACTAAATGTGAATTGCTTGACGATATATATGCTAAAGGACC